TATTATGCTCTACTTTGTTCTAATTACATTTGACATATATGTTTGGTTTTTTATTCTTTCTTTTTTTTTTTTTTTTTTTTTTTTTTTTTTGTGTGTGTTGCAAGCAAGTGGTAGAAGAGGCTCCGGAAGGGTTCTGACCACTCAATCAAGTCAAGTTTGATAAAGATGCTTCTATTATTGAACTTATTTATGTAATAAACTAGTTTAAGTTATTTGATGGACTTGAGTATGTTATACACTTAAGAGATGTAGACTTATTTTATTATAACATATTGGTAACCTATTATTCAGTATGAATTTCTGAAAAATCATGACCCTTGATTTGTGAGAAATCATAGTTTTAGATTATTATTAATATATTATATACAATGAAGCTTAGCAAGAGATTGAATAAAAAAAGTCCAAGAAGGCACATACGTGCCACTTTAAGGCTCATAATTATTCTTTGTTAGGTTCGGGTACACAAATGCGTTCATTGCATCAAAAAATAAATAAATAAATAAATCAAACATCATTCGTCTTTTGTTTTGAAAAAATAAATTTTAAACGTAAAAAAATAATGATATTACAAGGTTAACGTGTTAAAAAAATAATCAAAAGGTTGACGTAATAAAAGCGAACAACCAAAAGGTTGACTTATTATTTACATATTTTCCTTTTTTGGAAAATTACATCACCTTTTTACCTCCACCTAATACTCCACATAAGCAATTAACCCGCTTTTGCAGGTCATTTTCTATTTTAACATAATAAAATTTAATGGTACTACAAGGTTGACGTATTTAGAAATAATCCAAAGGTTGACCTAATAAAAGCGGATAGCTAAAAGGTTGACTTAATAATTACATATTTTCCTTTCTTTTTTTTCCTCCTATATAGATTTTTTTACAAATAATCTCCTACATTTTATTAATGATGGTATGAGTTTGGATTTTTCACTCTTTATTAATTTTTTAATTTTTTCATAATAAAACAGAAACCATTAAATTAATGTTACATTTATTATTTAAATTTTATTTTAATTAAAAATAGAAATAAAACTACTCAATCATAAAATAAATAATTAAAAATTGATCTAATAAAGAAACCATAATTTCTTGTAACAAATAAATAAAATATAGAATAAAAATAATTCAATGAATTAAAATAATAAACCCAATTCTAATCTAAAAATGATTAACAAAAAAAAAATAAGTGCGTTTTCTGTGTGGCTATCCACACCGTGTGACCAGCTAACACACACAAAAACACTGACCGAGTAACCCCTGATTGAATAACCCTTAACCGACCAAATAATACCTGACCTGACCAACCGAGTAACCCCTAACCAAGTAACCCCAACCACACGGTGTGGCCAGCCACATACTACCTCCGTTTTTTTTAGTTGACACCATTTGACTTTTACACTATTCAGAAACTACACTTTGACTACTTTGTGTTGTGACTTATAGCTATGATAAAACATAGTTAAGTGAGATCTTGTTTGAATCGTCTCATTGTAGATTTTATTAATATTCACTTTTTATAATTTTACAATGTCGAGAATTAAAGTATTACTCGTTAATATAGTGCATTGGCAAGCGCGATATATAAAATAAAGATGTCAACTAAATAAAAATGGAGGTAGTATGAAACTTTATGAAATAAAATATGAAAAGTAGCAACCACATAAGTGTTATTATGAATGGTCGATTAAAGGCGACAAGTCGAAGTGTAGTCGACAAGTGCTTGTGATGGTGGGAAGACGAGGCCATTGAAGACCTGTTGTGCACGCCCAAATAAGCAATTGTTGGCCAACCGACGGGCTGACAAGAAGCTCCTTAATGACTTGCTCCCGTGCTCCGTCGACTTGCGGGCTCTGGTCGTTCGCTAGTTCAATTGGTCGTCTTTCAGGGATTGTATCTCGAGTTCTAGGAAGTGCATGAGGGCATGTGACCTATCATTGATAAGCTCTTTAAGTCTCGTTTCCAACCCCACTTGATTCACCTCAATAAGATGTATAAAGCTCAAGTTATAGTTAAAAGAGTGAACAAAGGTTTGTTTTTGACACTTCATTCATCAACGTCTTGCTTTGTTTTCAACTCAAGTTCAATTTCGAAGACACTTCATTTCATGCATAAAATTCAAAATCAACACCCACAAACATAAACTTTTCAATCAACGAACTTAATCCATCGACTCTTCATCCAATCATCCGAATCATCTCTAAACACTACGATCGAAAGCATCTAAATAAATGGACAATTTATGCATATGTGACCCTAAAAAACGACTTGAAGACCTAAAAGCAACTATAAATGTTCTTATACATCCTATATAAATATGATTCATCAACCACATGGTCATGTGAATCGCTAAGTAGTTGTGTAGACTTCATGGTCATGTATCATGAACTACATGGTCATGTACCTATTCGATCACATATTCAAGGCCTATTCCATCATATATTACACACATACAACGCACGGGATTAACCTAGCTATTCATAAATTAGCAGCACCACATATCACTTGCAAAAAAAAATTTTATGGAAATGGTTTAGCATAGCAAAAACAAGTTGATGATAGTTTAACTATGCCATGAGTAACATATCTTTAATGTAGTGTCCCTTCACCCATGTCTATTATAAGGATTGTTTGCACCTAGATAACAAAACAATGTCAACTTTCTTTCTAACCAAAAGTCATATGCCTAGGTTTTGATAACAAAGATTTATGCACAAATAATCTATTTATGTTTTTAAGAAAGTAATTATTATAGGTATGGTAGTTCTCATTATTTTTTATCGTCATTGCTAAAGTATTAATTTATGATAAATGCCTATGATTTAGTTTTAAAAAGATGGAATTTGGGTATCTAATAGCTAAGAACCAAATTGAATAAGACCTCAAATTTAACAGAATTGTCATATAACCACAAAAAATCCAACAAAACTCTCCTAAAAGATAAAAAGAAGAATCTTCCATATTAATTAACTAGAGATGATCAACTACAGCCCAGCCCGCTAACCCGACCCGATCTAACAGAAAAAATTGGTGGGTTTGGATAAGCTTAAATATACATTTTTAGTTAAAGACACGAATCTGGCCTGATAAATGTCCAATGAGCCTACTTAGGCCCGATACGCCTGTCACTTTTGGGTGGTTGGGCATGAGTTATGATATTAAGGCCCAGCACAACCCAATTTTTTGATCACCTCTAATATTTAGGGGTGGCAATTCGGGTCAGTAGGTCTGGTTCGGGTCAGATTTCGGGTCGATTTCGAGTTGTGCTTAGAAACTATCAAAAATAGTGTAAAACTGAATATTATTACAAAATATGAAATTTAGGTCAAATCGAGTCGAATTCGAGTTATTCGGGTTTGGGTTGGGTTGGGGTCGAGTTTCTCTCATTAACTTCAAGTCGGGTCATGGATTCCCAGCCCTACTAATATTAACCCAAGTTTTACAGCTTACAAGATCATAATACAACACTCATGAAAATTGGCAAAAATGCGAATATCATTTAAGTATGCCCTTGGAGTTGGGTGGATTCTCGAGCAACCTTACAATACAACAATCCGTGTTATTTTAGCTCCTACCCAATTGGGGCACAAGCACGGCGAGGAAAAGTAGCTCTTCGACACTTTTTCTTGCGTTTCTTTAAGAGCTACTTTTCCTCGCCCTGCTCATGCCCCAAGTGGGCGAGCTCGGCCTGGGGCACCAGGTGAGGTTTCAGGGCAACGGAATTGGCGATTTTTGAACTTTTCTTCAAAACTTATAAATGCCCATTGTGCCTATTCATTGCTGACATATACAAAAGACGGAGTATTCTGAAACCCTAAACACAATAAACAAAATATCATTCCTCATGTAGATATCTGAGAAGTTTTTGAAATAATTTCACCCTTCCATTTGAGACACAAAGTTGGAAGGTAGCTGTGTTATCCCGGGAACCAATCGTCATTGAGAACCACAGATCTGTGGTGGTAAAATGCGTTTCTACAACTCCCGTAAATCGCATCACAACTTATTTGAGATCTTTTATCTTAGTATAGCATATTTTCCTAATTCTCTATCATTTTTCATACCATTACGCCCTTTGCATCTCTTCTTCATCATATGAAAATGTTCCATGGCTATATCAAGATATAATCATTGATTAGTCTTCTCGGAACAAAAGCACTTTGGTTCTGAGGAATGATTTTACAAAAAATATCTTTCAACCACCAGACTAAACACCTTCCGAATCCCTCCATGTAGATTTGATCTCCGACTCTCTCAACCACACTTCCACCTTCCGAATCCCTCCATGCAGATTTGATCACCTCCTTATATCCTTCCTCCAAATGCCAACAAGTTTCAAATTTAAAGCCCTTTCTTTTCTTCTTCTTTTTCGCTTGAGCCGGCTAGGTAGAAAGAATTATCGATGCATGATCCAGTTTAAATCTCATAAGATGTTTTACAGTGGCCTCCAAGTGCACCTAGAATCCAAACCCAAGAATTATTTAGATCTTTCACGCACCTGGGTTGAAGGCGTTTTGCCTCGTTCCCAAGTATACCAATCACCGTCCGTGGCGGAACCAGGGGAGCGTGAGCCATGGCCTCCCCCCTTGGTTATGGTTATTTATTAGATTTTGCAAATGATTATGTTAAAGTGTATCATAACTTAGTTGGTAATAGTGTTAAAGAGATCTATTTTGGAGGTCTCAAGTTAAAACCTTGCTCCTTACAATCTTTTGAAGCTTTTATTATTTTGCAACACTACATAGTTTACTATTTTGTATAATAAGGTTATAATACAACTTTAGGCATTAATTCCCTTTTCTATATATTTCGAATTTTTTTTTAAAAATAATACTTTCTCACCCTATTTTTTGACATTTCAATATTTTTTTTTTGAAAGAAGACATTTTAATGTTATATTTATTTATATATGTATGAGATATTAGTACATATATTAAGTTTGGCCCCCTAATACAAAAAATCTGGCTCTGTCCCTAATCATTGTGGAACTCCAAATCATGCAAATCACATGCTTCCACTACTTCTCTAAAATCCTCCAACTCCTTCCCAACACCACCTGTCCTTCCTTCCCTCTCTTCATAAGATATCGATAGCAGCTAATAGTAATTGCTCGGACTATGGCTAGACCCAGTCTAGCTAATAATTTGGGGTGAACAACCGGTCCAGCTCTGGTTAGGCGCGAGTCCAACCAATACTAACCTGTGAACGACCCTCCAAACTAAAAAGCCCAGTAACCCCCCTTACTATACGTTCGGCCAAACCAAAAAAAATTGCCAATTTGCTTCAACATTCATTTTTCTTTCTGTTTGCTAGGGTTTTAGAAAACTTACAAAGGTTTTAGAGAGAGAATAACCTCAACATCAACTTCAATCGGCTACCATGTCTTTCAACTCCCCTGAATTGCAGAATCTTCTCGAGGTTCGTCGACGTATCTTATCCTCTCCTTCATATTTTGAATATTTTGTGTACACATTTTTTTGATGATGTGAAACTTTGATTGAGATAAAACTGAAATCATAAGAATATCGCCGAATGTTTGGGGGTTTTTGCTATTGTTCGGCTATTATTGAGTAATTCGGTGTAATTTTGGGATTGTTTATATATGATGAATTGATGATATGGTAGGGTTTTTTGAATTTTTGTTATTTTTATGTAATAGAATATATCCTAATTATTGATTAAGTTGTGAAATAAGTGTTACGGAGTAATTTTTTCGAAGTGCGCGAATTGTATTGAGAAAATCTCAATAATTGTCAGCTAAATGTATTTTATTTTGTTTTTAGGACTGGTTGAATTGCATACCTATATTCGTCGATTTTTTTGTGTGTAAAATTGATCAAATATAAGCAAAAATTTAATGCCATTACGATATGCTATGAAAACTTGTTTAGTCGGCCGGAATGTGGTGGAATACTGGCATTGCCATAGTGTTGTAATAGAAGTGTTTGAAAGTAAGTACGATTGTTGAGAAACAACCCATAAATATAAAGCTCTTTGGGATCTAAAATAGTCACACCATGATGCTTTGTTGTAAGCTTTTCTTGAGATATTGGTACTAATATTGTGTAGTGAGGAGATTATGGGAAAGGTGCAACTTAGTCCTTGAATATAAGAGGTGGATCACGCGACAACAATTATTACTTTCGGAGGGAGGAATTTCTAATTTACAGTGAAATATGAATGTTTAACTACTTAAATGTAATACAAGTATTGTGTATATTGTTATGTGCTTTTAATCGTACCAACTACCAATAAGATGGAGAATTAGGATTGTTTGAAGCATCTTTTTTGGTATTTAAAGGAAAAATTGTTTACTTCATATGTGCTACTGTGTTAGAGTAAGTTTCTGTATCTTCAAATAATTCATCTAGTAGACTGATATAATTAAATGGTAACTTAAAGATGCTTTTTGATTGGAAGAGTGGGGTATAGTACTCCGTACTAAAGAGTGGAAAGAATATTATATGCTTATTTGTAGAAATTAGCTGCTGAATTTGTGGCAAATGATATTCCTTGTACTCTGTTTTTGTCTGTAACTCTCCTCTTCTTTTTTTGAGTTCCAATTTTCTCTATATATTTCCACTTAAGGGTGCGTTCTGTTCAGTTCATTTTCATTATTTTGAACTTACATGAAGTTCTTTCAAACTTCTCTGATTTCTAATGCAATTCCCCAAAATTAATCTTTTTACCGCAATATCTAAAAAATTCTGGTGTAAATTTTCTCCTCTTTTCACTAACATTGAGGTCTGATATTCTGATCCAAAATTATCACTTCCCTCCTATGCAAATTTACCCTTGCTAAGAACCAAATATGTTTGTATTGCGTTCTTGATTTTTGAACAGTTGAAGTGATTTCTCTATCTCTCTTTGCTTGTGTTAGTTTCATTGGTCTTAAGGGCTGGTTGGTGTGTTGATGATCTTACCTGGGAATGGGGTTTCTTATTTAGGCATTTGCAAAGAATTATGGTGATGGTACTATATTTTTGAGGAACGAATTATGTAGCTTAATTACCAGTGTTGCTTAAAAGTGAGTTTGATGTTAGTTTTGGAACTTAAGTATAGAAAAGCTACCTATTTTCAGTTTTTTTTTTAATTCTTGTCAGCTCAGTGACTAAGATTAATAGTGTACCTAATCCACCACTGTTCGGTCATTTTGGAGCACTCTCCTTCTGTTCTCCATTTCTTGAGCCACTGAGATGATAAACATGATGAAGTATTCAGGAGAATTCTGTTTAATCTTTAATGTGATATGTATTGTCCTGTTGTAATGCAAGTGTCTGTATGATACTTTATGTAGCCTTTGCTTTGTACTGTTAAGTTTTTAAAGGGGTGGGGTGTAGGGGGTATTTTCTATTGGAAGGTAATCCTTGAAATGATAGGAGAAAAAAATAAATCAAGGTTGTATTCTTTGTTACTAAATCATGTATATTTGGTTTATGTGGAAGTTTGACTCCATGGTCTGGGTGTTGGTTATATTGGACATAAAATGATGTAAAATTTTGTTGACTTTCTTAAGAGCTGCCTAATAATTATTCATGTTTAGTTGTGATTGATGTTATTTTCAAATTAAGTTATGTTGGTTGAAATTTTAAGAAGCCAGTCATTCTTGATAATTACTCTTGTGCAATATGTGCATTCCACTTCCTTCATTAGATACGGAGTAATTGTGTTGCTAACTGGCTATTGATGATAAAATTTCTGAGACTTTATTTATTAAGTTTCTTGTGGTAATCTGAAAGTTTCTTAAAGGAAGGGCATTGATAAAAGTTTTGGCATGTGTAACAGTATGCATCTCACTGCCATATACACAAGCTGATTATGTGGTGTCATCACAGCTGAGGTGCTCACTATTGAGTCATGCTAATTAATCTGGTTAATTCTTCGATCTAGATAATCCTTTTTTATTTTTTTTTTTTGGTGCTATCCATGCATGAATTTAGATAACTCGAAGAGAAATACTTTCTAGTTTTGCGAAGGTAGACCAGGTCCCCATAACCTTGCAGAAGTGGGGGCTAGAATAGTAGATAACCAATTTACTCTCAAAAGGCTCAAATTTGTTTTTGTGTAGTTTTAGCAGTAGTGCTCCCATTGCTGAATATGGGAAGCTCACACAGTCACACTTAGCTTATTATGCCCATCATACATAGTAAAAATTCTGTCTTTATTTGTTAGCATTTTCCTGCATGGGCTTGTTTTTGTACATGGTTTTTGTTTATTTTTGTTCAACCTTTATCTGTGCATCAATGTCTATAGAATGTTCAGTATTTGCAAGCCCTTGGTATTTACTGAAAAACAAATGCATACTCTGGAATACACTTTCTTTAATAAATTACTTTGCTGTATGATTTTGCAGTGCTGATTTTTTTTCCGTTGGTTTTGTTTTATTTGCAGCAAGAGAAGCAGAGAGCCATGGTCAATGAGATGGTATCGAAAATGACAAGTGCTTGCTGGGATAAATGCATTACCAGTGCACCCGGAAGCAAGTTCAGTAACAGTGAAGCAGCCTGCCTTCAGAATTGTGCTCAACGATATGTTGAGATGAGCATGATAATTATGAAGCGCTTTCAATCTATGCAGTAGAATAGGCAAGAAATCTCGATAAATTGCTCATTGATGATTGCTGTCTCACTTTTATGGTCTCCTTTAAATTAAACTTCCCTGTCGGGGTTTTACTGTTGCAACTGTGCATTGCCTATACATTTGATGCAAGAAAACACGAACTTACGCCACAATAATTTATCTATGAAAGTCTTTTTGCACATGCGTAATATCGTCTAGCATTTATGTTTTACTCAATGAACAATGTTTTTGAGGAGTTAAACTCTTCTGTAAATTAAACAAAGGAAATCCTTGGCTGCCAATCTTTTTTTGCCTTCGTTCTAATGTTGAATAAGTGATATAACTTAATTCTTTTGCCATTTGCAGTTGATACGCGTGGGGTTTAACTCTCATTTTGTTTTGCTTCAGTCATGACTTACCTTGCTTCTTGAGAAGTCGAATATTGTGGTGTTTTTGGTTAGAGCTCGATATTGGTTTTGCAATGGACACCATTCCTATGGGTGGAGCAGTTTGATATTAGCTGTTCGGTCTTGACCCAGATAGCTTGTCAGCTACTCAAACTTGGCCTAATATGGTTGTGACTCTTGTGAGTTGTGGCTATAAGCTCAAATTTAGTTATAAGATGCACTTATTTAGTTATTTTAACACAAATAATATCTTTAACCACGTAATATTACTCTGATAAAATTCTGAAAAGCCAATATTTCGAGATAATAAGACACTTCGTCGTTTGTACCGACCCATTGGCTACAAGTAATATGGAGTTGCGGGTCTGTGACTTAATTGACCACAACAATAATTCGTGGGATATTGACATCATTACCAACAATTTCAATGCAGCAGGTAAGGCTGTGATCCTTAACTAAGGTACCCTATTAAAATTCCTTACATCATTAACAACAATAGGGTACCCTATTAAAATTCCTGGAATCGGAATTGGGACATGTTGCAGCAAGTTCCTTAAAATGAGAATCAGAACCTGTTGAACAGGTTTCTAGAAAGTGGGAATCGGAACCGAAACTTGCAGGTTTCGACCCCGATTCAGAGTACCCTGTCTTTCAATATATTTCGTACTTTCTTTGCAAAGTTATTTCAAAAAAATTGGAAGGTCATATATTTACGACTCTTACAACTTGCAAATACATTAAACCAAAAATAGTTATTTACCAAATTTAATACATATATTTATAACTATTATTTATAAAAAATTGGACTTAAACTGATATATAATTTGGGTTGAAATAATACCGTTATTAAGTTACAGTGTACCCTACAGATTCCGGTTCCAAAAAAATCGAGAACCTATTACAACAGTTTCTCCATTTTACTACCCGGAACCGGAACCTCTTGTACAGGTTCCAGTTCCGGAACCTGCGATTTCTAACAGGTTCCGGTTTCGATTCAAGGTACCCTGATGTGTTCCTCACCCTTAACTCTCACCATCCACTATCTCCTAATCGCCCACCGGATAAAACGTTTTGGTGGCCTTCAAAGGATGGCGTATATAATGTGAAGTCGGGTTATTGGCTATGCAAGAAGGCTTAGAAGTCAGCAACTACTGCAGATATGAATGAGGTGTGGAAGCTAATTTGGTCTCTTATGTGCCCTCCTAAGCTCAAGCACTTCCTTTGTAGGGCTTGTAAAGGCTTCCTCGCAGTTAAGGAGCGCTTAATGTACCGCCACATTGTCACAGACAAAGCTTGCTCCATCTGTGGCGCCTCGGGGGAATCAATCATCCATGCTACCTTCAAGTGCACCACAGCTAAAGAGATTTGGGCTGCTAGCTCATTTACGGTCCAAATTCAGCTAGCTCCTTCATCGAGTTTTTTGGAGCGCTTATTATGGCTTTCGAAAAAGGTGTCTAAAGATGGGAAAATACTGGTTGATCTTCGTGATCAACATAATTTGTCAATCACAGGGGTGATGGTGTCTTTTCATTCATCAAGTCAAGAATAGTAATATCATTGCACATGTATTGACGTGTTCATATTGCCAGCTATGCAATATTGTGTTAGTCAAGGTTTGATGGCGTTAACAACAAAGTTAGGGTCAAAGCCCCAAATCCCCACACTCTTTCTCTCTCCTCTCTCAAAGTCTCAACAATGGCGGGTGTGTAGTAGCTCTGGCGCTGGAGGGTGTAGCGGTGACAATGAAACTGAAATCAATGCTGGGCGTAACTAGCTATGACTCCGGCAAAGGGTGGTGGTGGTGTCTGTACTTAAATCAATCTCTCATCCGCCAACGTCGGCAAGAATTATGTCCAAGAGCTTCTTGACAAAGCTTCTTAGGTTATTAATTTCAAGGTAAAATGGTGACCCTTACCCTTTGGGGTTGACCAAGCCCTTAATTTCACCTTTGATTCCTAGGATTTTCGTTTAATTCGGCAGCGAAGCCGCCGAAGATGGTGGTGTCGGTGGATGATTTATTGGATGAAAATTAGACATGATGAAGATGGTGGTGTGGTAGCTAGCTTCAATGGAGGAAGCAGCTTGAACACTACTATTGTTACCAATAAACGGAGTTAGGATTTAGGCTTGCATTCTTGGTTACTAAGCGGCTGACGAAGCACAAGTATGAGTTGGCTAGTATGAGTAAGCACTAGATTGACAAAATATGTTGACCATGAAGATCAATTGGGGCAAGCCCTCTGAAGATGAGCTAGTTATCATGGCTGCTCTTGCTTGGGCATCGTGGCACTGCAGGAATACGACTATCTTTGAGCAAGGCTCTTTCAATGCGGTTGAGGTTGCAAGGGGGGGTGAATATGGTGCGTGAGTGCAACGAGTATGTGGGGAAATTTGTGTGCAGAACTAGGCAATCAGGGGGGCAATCAGCTAGTTCATGGAGCTGCCAAGTTAGAGTTCTGTAAAAATTAATTGTGATGCTCACTTGGGTGCAAAAAACTGGTATGGGGTCTGTGATTAGGAATGAGCAAGGAGCTGTGATTGTTGCTATTGTGCGTCAGGAAGGGGCTGGGTGGGATGTGGGTACTGCAGAGGCTACAGCCTGCAGATTCGGATTGCTTGTGGCTAGAAGACTGGGTTTTGAACGTGTTCATCTTGAGTGTGATGCTGTGACTGTAGTGCCAGCTGTTAAGAGCAAGGCAAAAGGTTTTTCTCCTGTTTTTATGCTGTACGATGATATAGTTAAGCTTTCTTCTTGTTTTAGTTCGTTTTAGATTTCTCATGTCAAGTGTGCGGGTAATAGTATAGCACATAATGTTGCAAGATGGGATGCTAGGGGAGTGCTGAGCTTGTATCTTTTGGCCCTTTCCCTCAAAGTCTAATAACTTTGGCGGAGATTGATCTTTTTTAATGAAATTTGCGGCTTGGTTTAAAAAAAATAAAAATAAATAAATAAATAAAAAGAAAGAAAGAAAATAAAAGACAAGTGAACAAAAGAGTATTGTAAATCTGTAAGTTAGCAAAATAGAAATTTCGGGCTCGACAGTCGGAATTGAGCAAGAGTTTGAACAATTAGGATTGGTGCGAGCCAAATGAGTTATCTCTAAACCAAAGAAAATTTGCAAATTACAACCGGTTAAAATTCTCATTTTGTGGGTTACATTGTTACAACCATCAAAGTTTATTTTTGAAAATTACCACCAAAAAAGTCACCGAACATTTAAACTACAATTAAAATCCGATTTTCGGCCACTTTCACCGGAATATGACGTCAATGTATCAATAAATGATTCCAAACTAGTGCTGGCTAGGGATTATTTATTATATCAATAAATGATTAGTGACATCATATCCCAGTAAAAGTAGCCGAAAATCGGATTTTGATTGTAGTTTACAATATTTGGTGAACTTTTTGATTGTCATTTGTTAAAATAAACTTTGATGATTTTAACCTGCAAAAAGAATACTTTTATTAATTGTAATTGGCAAATTGCTTTTGTCCTAACGAGACATGAAATTGGTTCACAGAGGTTCATGTGCCCAAAAAAAAGATTTACTTCGTGCAATCAAAAAAATTAAGTCAGACAAACTAATCAACAAAGTAGAAATATGAAAACAATGGAAAATAACATAAAACTAAACTGTCAGGCATTAAACAAAAACATAAAAAGAGGTCCTACCGGGAGTCGAACCCAGGTCGCTGGATTCAAAGTCCAGAGTGCTAACCACTACACCATAGAACCCAATGTGCGAAAAAAGGTTTCTGGTTCATACTAACCTAAATTTAAAAAAAAATAAATTCACGGCCAACGCATTATGACTGATTTTTTTTTTTTTTTTTGAGGAAACATTATGACTGATTCTTAATGAAAGTAATCTCTTTTATATGACCAAATTATACACATAAAGCAATAAAACACATTTGGTAATTGGATTGTTTGACATGTCTATCGCTAAGATTGTCTGATATTCATTAGCTCACTTTTTAAAGAGTTGATTCATTTGAAAGTATGTGGTTAAAGTTTTGAAATATCTCTCTTTTTTTTTTCTTTTTTTTTTTTTTTTTGGACATTCCATCCATTAGTAGGTATATATACACAAGTTCATATCCAAGTAATTAAGGCCTAAGCCCAAAATATACATATAACTAAGTAAATGTTAATTACATAATATACTCCATCAATCCTAACACATCTCAAGTGAGAGTATGCAAATCACAAATATCCAACTAGCAAGTAGCAACAACACCTTCTTGTATAACATTTCTCATATATTGACTTGTAGCAATTATACCAAATTAGACTCGAGGATGAGAGTACATATTTGGCCAAAGGAGTCTAAACACGTCCATTAAATTGAACAATCTCTACTTGCTTGATTCAATTTGACATAACAAATTATTCCAATAGCAACATACAATCATCCATATACACCTGAGTGTATATAAAAAGGTGTTGTCTTAAGGTTGCATATAACTATACAACATGAAACACATTTCCTAAAATGTATTAGTTTGAAATTGATGACAATACCACACGATAATTGGCACTCTCTCCGTTTCATAATGATGTTCTTGTTTACGTAAATCAATGCAAATTTTTAATTGCAAAATTTTTTGAATCTGATCTCACACTAGCAAAAATTATAAAAGTTAGATACTTGTATTAATAATTTATTCACCAAGACGAATCATATTATACCCCATATGGTATATGACTATTTATTTTTATGAATTGAGAGAAATTTAGAGGATTTCGTCTCATTTTTAACAGTCAAAAGATCTCAAATTACATCATTTGTGAAACGGTGAGATTATTATTAATGTTTAGTGTTCCTTTATAATCTTCTAAGAATATACCCATTTAGTATGAAATCTGTCAAAGATCTGTTGAAAGCTAATTTTTTTTTTTACTATGATTGAGAATTGAGATTAATTTAAGCGTA